GTGACGTTTCGCAAGTAACAGCTTTGCATTTTTATGCATGAAAGAAAAAGCAAAAACTTGTATTTAAGTATTTAAATGGTTTTTCGAACAGAGCTTTGTATATTTGAAGCTTTCAAAGCATTAATTGCCGTACTTGCGAAACGTCACACTTGCGAAACGTCACACTTTCGAAACGTCGTCTTTCGAAACGTCGCGGAGCCGTAATTCTAATTGTTCAGGCCATTCTCACACGAGCTGGAGCCCATTTACGCTCGCTCGATATGTCTGGAGTGGTCCATTTGTTAGACGATAGGCGAGCAGTGAAAATGATTGCAACTTGCTGCCCAAATCTTGTGGAACTCGACATTAGCGGAACACATGCTCAAGCGGAAGCTCTTGAAGAACTCGGAGAATCACTTACTCATTTGGAACAACTCTCTTATAGAGGAATGGAAACAACTGGAGACAAAGCATTTTATTTTCTACTCAAAAACTGTGGACACTCACTTAAATTCGCAGATTTGCGAAACTCGAAACGGTTACATGGACGATCTTTCCGGCTTTTTGGATCGCAATTGGAGAGTTTATATTTGGATGGATCGTCTAAGATTGACGAAATGGCATTCGAAGACTTATGCACCAGCTGTGGAGGACTGAAAGAGTTGCGAATCAATGAGTGCTACAAGATAACCGATGAAAACCTGAGTATGATTGCGAGAAGAATGGAAGATCTTTCTATTTTGACTCTTTGTGGAAACGGTTTTAAGAATCTAACATCGGCTGGATTAATTCATATCAGTCATATGAAGAACATCACCGAACTTGCGTAAGTTCGAAATTAGATTACTAAAAGAAAAGTTTTCAATTTCAGACTCGATTACAACACTCTTGTGAATGACGAACTACTGATTTCCATCTCCGCTGGGCTTCCGCTTCTTTCATCTCTGAGTCTAGCTAATGCTGGAGACGATGCTTCAATAACCGCGGAAGGAGTTTCTGCTATCAAAAACCTGTCTGAGCTCACTCAACTGGATGTTTCCTCCCTGGCAGCTGTCAACTCGGCCGTGATGACCCAATTAGGATTATTGAAAAAACTAGAAATCATTCAACTCAGAAACTGCACTTATTTGGGAGACGAAGGTGTTCGAACGATGCTTCAAATGCCCAACCTCCGTCATACTGATTTGAGTGGTTCCATTTTGGTCTCGAATGATTCCATACAAGAGTTCATCAAAGCATTCCCATCTGGACCCAAGGTTTGTTGACATTCGCGAATAGTAATTTATCCTGATTTAAAGCTTCCACCAATCACTCTCGTCGTCGGAGGAACAGCAGCTGATGCATCAAAACTGTCTGTTCGTGGATCAAGAGTAGTTGTTGATTTCTCTGATTACTCGACAATTGTTGCCATGCAAACTAGCCAGACGTCTGGATCAAAATTTGTTGTTGGATCGGTATCCGATTGCGAGGATAATTCTGACGACGACTTTGAAGTCCTGACCGCCCAACGTGAGATAAAGAATCCTATAAAAATTTATGCAACATTTTTTTCAGGGAGCTTCTACATCGATGCAGTTTGCGGAGAAGAGGATTCGCCCATAACTGACGACGGGAAATTGGCTGAATGGGCTGAGAAGGAAGCAAGAAGTCTAGGACTCATCAAAGATTAACGAAAGACTTAAATATAATTTTATCGAACGTAATACTGTGTCTATTGCTAATATGTATCTGTTTATAGGATTATAACTACTTTTTACCAAAATTTGCATCTTGTCATTTTTAGCATTTTTCCTGCCTTCGTGTAACTAGTCAATGAATGTGGATATTATTTCATCTGCATCATCGTGATATTCGTTTTCATTGGTCATCACCCATATGAATTTATTTTATATTCAGTAATCAGTCAGTAAACACAGTAAAAAAGGATTTGAGAATTCAGTAAGATGTCGATGAAACGGTTCGGAAAAGCGGCTTATCGCATTGCGAATGAGGTAAGATTTTCACAACCCAATTCAGTTTTGAATCAATTTTTTGCAGTTCGTCGCGCGCAGTGGAAGGATTTCTATATTCCAGCGAATCTTGCCACGCATCTTCCCAGCTACACACAATTTAGGTGTTCATGTGGTTCTAAAAAGATCCCCATTCCCCCGTCAGAATGCACTGAGAATAGTAGGTTCAATTTTTGAAATGAATGCTTTAAAAATCACCTTCAGGCCCGTCTTGTAACTCGCCATGGTCGCTTCTTTCGTCCGTTCTCTTCTGTTATAATCGAAAGACATCGATTCCAAAATAAAGATGATTGGAGGCACAAATTAGAACCACTTCGAAAACAACAGTCGAAATCTGTCGATCTCGTGGAACGAATCAAGCAGATTTTCGGAAACTCGGTTCGATATAATGAAGACTTGAAGAGCAGTGAATGGCCTAATAGGGTTGACTCTTACGAGTTTGGTGGGTTATCGGATTGTTGGAGTTTAATTATAGATACAGTTTGTAGGAGAGTTCCTCGGTCAAGGATGCAACGCAGCAGTGTATTCTGCCAAGTTGGCTAATTCCGATATTGAGATATCGAACACCAAATATGGAGCTGGTTTCAACGAAGTCACAAACATTCTTGCAGAAATGCCTCCAGTCAGTAAAGTTATTGAAAAGGTTGTTGTCTCAATATATAACCGATTTTCGATTTTCAAAATTTTCAGAAGTATCCACTCGCAATCAAATTGATGTTCAATTTTGAACATGACAGAGACGGAGACGCCCATCTCTGGAGTTCGATGGGAAATGAACTGGCACCATACCCAAATGCCGCAAAGTTATTGAACGGCCGCATGGGAAACTTTAAGCCGCTTCCAGCCAAACATCCAAATGTAGTGAGAATTCAAACAGCGTTCGTTGATTCATTAAAAGTTCTGCCCGATGCTTTGGAACGGTACGCGAACTATTTTGTTTCTGATTCAATGAACAATTTTGCAGATATCCTGACGCTCTACACACTGCTCGTTGGTATGAGTCGATTGCCTCTCAACCCAAAACGATGTACGTAGTGATGCGAAGATATCGACAGACCCTTCATGACTACGTCTGGACACACCATCGGAATTATTGGACTGGGCGAGTGATGGTAGCTCAGCTTCTAGAAGCATGCACGTATCTTCACAAGCACAAAGTATCTCAGAGAGATATGAAGAGTGATAATATTCTGTTGGAATATGATCTTGATGACGAGATTCCTCAGTTGGTCATCGCTGATTTTGGATGTGCATTGGCTTCGGATGATTGGACGGTCCTTTATGAAAGTGATGACGTCAGTCTTGGAGGTAATACAAAAACAAGAGCACCAGAGATTGCTACAGCTGTTCCTGGCAAAAACAAGTGAGTTTTAAAAAAAGCTGCGATATATAGAATTTTCTGAATTTTCAGAAAAGTGAATTTCGAAATGGCTGACACCTGGGCAGCAGGAGGGTTGTCTTATGAAATACTGACTCGCTCGAACCCTTTCTACAAACATCTAGACACTGCCACTTACGAAGAATCACAATTGCCAGCTCTACCTTCTCGTGTGAATTTTGTTACCCGTGATGTAATTTTCGATTTACTGAAAAGAAATCCAAACGAGAGAGTCAAGCCAAATACTGCTGCAAACGCTGTAAATTTATCACTTTTCCGGATGGGAGAAGATGTGAGACAAATGATGGAGAAATGTGGAATCTCTCAAATGAGTACACTTTTGGCAGGATCCACAAAAGTATTGAGTCAGAAGTTCAACAGTCATCTGGATAAAGTTATCAACTTGATTACTGCCGAAACAATAATTTCCAACCTCGCACCACACTTGATCAGTAGAGCAGAAAGGCAACTTCGTGCGACTTTTTTGTCCAGAATGAATCGTGAAGATATCTGGCAAAGTTTGAAGTATTTCTTCCCTCCTGGAGTTCCACTGAATACACCTGCCACGTCATCCGACTGTTTTGAATCAATTTCCAGTTTGATTTCTAGCTTATCGAATGGCTCTCAGGATTTCGAAATGCAGAAGCAACCAGCAAGAAACGGATATAACAATGTGCCTATTCTATTACGACATGTCATTCGAACTAATTCAGATGGAATCGATGGAATTGTACATAGAGTTAGATCAAAATGATTTCTGAATCCCGTAGTTTTGTCTTATAGTTAGATTGTATTACTTTTCATCATCGCGTAGTTATTTTGTACATTCACCTCATTTTCAAGTGCCAGAATAATAAATATACGGTTCCCTCTGTTTTTATGTGCAGAATTGATCAGTTTTACTATATCAGGAGTTTCGTTTATTTGTTTATTCATTCCGAATACAACTGGTTAATACCATGAATTATCTGAAAATTGCAAATGTTTTTATAAATATCTGACACACATAAATTTTAGGTGCATGAGCAGTCTTTACGTGCCATTTGTTTTACGGCTCGAAGTGAGAGATCCGTCGAAAATTGTACAATCGTTTATGGACAATTCAAACGCTGGAAGTGAGTCTCCGTTTGCTGGGGAACGAACGCGTCAACGACTTGTCAAAAAAGCAAACTCGCCACCGAAAAAAGACCAAAAGGTCGGAAAAGACGATCCACCAACTGGAGTCATGGTCTGGAATCTGTTTCTCACAATGTGTGTTTTATTTTAATTGATTTTCAGGCAAATGAACCGTCTCACAACTATCATAAAGGTAATCGTACATACTCCGAAGTTGTTGTCGAGTCCCTCGATGGAGAGAAACTAATTGATACGAGTTCTGTTGCTGGAACATCAGAGAGATCTGCTGGTGCAAGATCTGGATCTGAAGGGCCTTGTAAGAGAACGAATTTGGTTTTTCAAAGTAATTCTTTAATAGTTCCAGATGAACATGTGGCTTACTATTCGGGGAATCCACTCACCGAGAAGACCGAGGGAATAATGCATTTTTACAAATACAACGATGAGAAACTCATCCGATCTGCTCAATGTCGGATGTTGTGTATGTATGCTGTTCCAGCACAAGTCGAAGTTCGCGAAATAATCTCGTTCATGTGCATTTCTCTAACAATGATCAGTAGCATCAGGGTAGTCAGAGATCCATCCCCCAATCAATATATGCTGATAATCAAATTCAAAGAACATGTAAGTCATAAAACATTCAAGCTTAATTTGTTTCATTCATTTTTCAGAATGATGCAGTTACATTCTACGAAGAGTTTAACAACTGCGCATTCAATGACCTTGAAGATCATGTGTGTAAACTCTTCTTCGTCGACCGGATTGAATGTGTCAGTTCATCAGATATCACAAATATTATCAGTATATTAACATTTTAAATTTCAGACAACAGCGGACAGTCTGTTATCCTGTGATGACTCTTCTATAACCGAACTTCCTACTTGTGCCGTATGCTTAGAACGTATGGATGACAGTGTCCTCGCCATTTTATGCAATCACTCGTTTCACGCTAATTGTCTGGAACAGTGGGCTGACAACACCTGTCCCGTTTGCAGATATGTCCAATCTCCAGAAGTTGTTGCTGAGCAACGTTGCAGTGATTGTGGGATGAGTAACGATCTGTGGATCTGTCTAATTTGTGGAAACATTGGCTGCGGCAGATATGCAGAACAGCATGCTCAAAGACACTGGGAGCTGACTTCGCATACTTATAGTTTGAAAGTAGGAGGTGAAAGAGTTTGGGACTACGCAGGAGACAACTATGTTCATCGGCTTATTGAGAATCAAGCAGACGGGAAGCTGGTTGAGGTTCAGCGTGATATGAATGCGGTGAATTATTCAAACATACATTCTGATTATGTGTCAACTCTTTTGTTTTCAGAGTATGGACGAAAAAGGAGGCAAAGATGATAAACTAGAAGGAATAAAGCTTGAATATACTCTTCTTCTCACTAGTCAACTCGAAGATCAACGGAAGTATTTTGAAGGTCAACGACATGATATGGAGGAAACTATGGCAAAAATGGAGAAGATGGCATATGCCCAAGTCGAGACTTTGGAACATCAACTGAATGATCGCTCAGCGGAACTTAAGACTTTACGCGGAGAGATGGATGAATCTATATCCGCTAGGCGAATGGCAGAGAAGAAGGCAAATCAGACTGTTGAGAAAGTCGCAAAGTTGACAAACGATTTGAATGATGAACGCGAAATCAATGAGATGCTGCGGAAAGATCAGCAAGTGTGGAAAAGTCAAGTTGAGAAGCTCATCGGGAGTCAGAAGACCGCTAGAGAAGAATATGAACAGGTACACGATTTCCCTTATATCTTAACACTAAAAGTGTTTTGCAGAAAATAAATGACCTCCAGTCGCAAGTTAACGATCTTCTTTTGCATTTTGAGACTCAGAACAAGCTCAAAGAACAGTTGGAAGCAGGAACGGTAACTCAAGAGGTTTGATGAAATTAGTCAAAATTAGTGAATATGAAAAATTTTCAGGAAATAACCGAAAGCCAAGTAGGACTCGACACTTCATCCTCCACCTCTTCGAAGAAACTGCGGAGGAAGAAGAAGACTAAATAAAAACTGAAAGTCTACGAATTTTATCTACTTTGTAAATTTGTATTATTCCGATATTCTTCTCATGTGTCTCTAAATATTTATTTGACTGTGAAATTTCCCGTATCTCTCAAAATCCTGTGTGGGTTGTTCCTTTCTTTGAACCTAGTATTTCGATTCTTTTGCCGCCGGTTGGATTAAAATATGCTTCGAAATAAAGCTTTATGTTGTTTACTGCAATTTTCATTTTGTATTATGATATCCCTGGCGTTAATATCGCTTCAATGTATTTTATATTCAATTTAACTCTTTCTTCGAAGACGTCAAGTTGACGCACTTTTCGTGTTGACGCACATTTGCGGATCTCAGAAAACGCGATGCGTTCGATAACAGTTTGTGTTCACTCCGTGTCGTTGGTCGTTTTTTGTTGATCGATTATTGTCTCATGATTCATCCGCTCTTTTATATCTATTCACATAAATTTTTCCTTTTTCTTCTCTGAATTTTTTCTCTTTTTCTTCACTGCTCTGATTCCTCTTCTTCTTCTCTATTTGAAACTTCGATCAAAAAATATTTAGTTTATGTCAACTTGGAATCATCTTCTTTGTCGACCAGTAATGAGTTTTGTTCATCAAAAATGCAGAAATGTCGGTATGCGTGTTGGTGATATCCGAAATTCATCATAGTTGTATTCTCAGACGTTCCTTATCTCGGAAGTCAAATCTACAGAACATCGGTTCCCGATGATCTCGTGAAATGGAATCGTGATTGGGCTGATTATGCGCCACCTAATTATACAGATAAAAAGGTTCATGGACAGGCATGGGCCGACCCTGAAATCAATGACCATAAGTTTAGTCCGAATTGGAATGCGGTCGATGGAAAAATCAATAGAGTATCCTTTGTATGGTCTGTTGTTGCACTATCGTACACTGGTGTATAGCAAATAACCTTCAGCCAATACACATTCGATCCTAAAACCTTGTCTCCAATAAATCCTATCGGGCGTACTGGATTGGCCGGTCGTGGATTGCTCGGTCGCTGGGGACCAAATCATGCTGCGGATCCAATTGTGTCCAGAATAAGCGACGAAGGGCATTTAGAGTTCGTTGCTATTCAGCGCCGAGACAACCGAGAATGGGCGATTCCTGGCGGAATGGTTGATGCTGGAGAACATGTTACCCAAACTCTTCAACGTGAATTTACCGAAGAAGCAATGAACGGAAATATCGATAAGGACAGTCTCAAAGAACTCTGGAGCGACGGGAAAGAGCTTTACAGGTTGATGAATGGTTCAAATCACTCTAACCACTATATCTCTTACAGAGGATATGTAGATGATCCACGGAATACTGATAATGCCTGGATGGAGACTGTTGTTTTCAATTTTCACGATTCGAACGGTCTTCTGAATAACGTTGATCTCCAAGCTGGAGACGACGCTACCGCTCTCCGCTGGATTCGTGTTGATTCTAAAGAACCTCTTTATGCTTCTCACGCTCATTTCATTGATCTTCTGAAATCTGCTCATTCGAAATAACCATTTTTTGATATTCTTCATTTGTCTCAATTTCTCCCTATGAACCGTCAATGTTTCTACTGTAACAATATTCTAAAGCTTATAAAGCTATTTTTCAGAAATGAGTCGTGGAGGTGGTGATCGTCGTGCTGCTCCGGATATCAACGGATTGACATCGCTGAAAATTGACAACCTGTCGTACCAGACGACGCCAAACGATCTGCGACGAGTTTTCGAGAGATATGGAGACATTGGAGACGTGCACATTCCAAGAGACAAGTACTCTCGTCAATCCAAAGGGTTCGGATTTGTTCGATTCTACGAGTAAGTCGTTTTAATACGGGTTACTGTTTAAAAAATTATGTTGCAGACGTCGTGACGCTGAGCACGCTTTGGATCGCACTGATGGAAAACTGGTAGATGGGCGGGAGCTGCGAGTTACCCTGGCCAAGTACGATCGACCATCCGACGAAAGAGGAGGTCGTGGTGGAGGAGGTCGTAGAAGGTTGGTTAGAAATTTGTAGTTTTGAAAAATTGGCGCGATTTTCGAAAATCAAAAAAAATCAGACATCAGTTGTTGTTGTCTTTCATTATAGACCAGCAGCAGAATGTGATCTTGTTGCTGAGTTGAGCTGAAATTTTGCTGCTACTGCTGCCTGAAGCTGAAATTGATCTGCTGCTGAGCGGGGAAATGAGTAACAGAAAAGCTGAAAATGCGGAGAAAAGCAGTTTTTTGATGTCTTGCCGTTGTCTGCTGGAAAAGCTGTAATTTTCCTTGTAAGTGCCCATATTCGAATGGCATTTTCTGCTTTCCGACAATTCCCCTAGAAATGTTATACCACAAGTTTTCTCGACACCTCTTCTATGGTACTTTCCTTCAGTTAATTGTTTATGTTCTTGTTCGATAGGAAAACATATTCTTCAAAGGAATTCACTCTCAAAACTGCTACATTTTTAGATCACGCTCTCCGAGAAGACGCTCTCGATCGCCAAGATACTCGCGTTCAAGATCGGTAAGTTTTCGTTTCCAACTACCTACTGATAACTCAAAATTCTTCTGTTTCTATAAAACAAAATTTTCAGCCACGCCGTTCTCGTAGCCGAACTCGTTCACCACCGTCTCGTGATCGTCGTGACTCTCCAGATCGTCGGGATCGTTCAGCTTCGCGTTCTCGCTCTCCACCACCACGTGATGATGCTTCTCCTGCCAGAGATCGCCGCTCCAGAAGCCGTTCGGCATCTCGCTCTCCGAGCCGCAGTCGTTCTCATTCTCGTTAACTTTATGAATTTTCTCCCACGAATTGTCTCTTTCGCTCTTACCAATGTCAACATTTTTTGATTTACTCACTGTTCTTCAAATCCAAATTCTGTTTTCTTTTAACTTCTAATTATCTAATTCTTTCGCCTTTTTCTCATATTTCATTTAATCATATTCTTCTTATTCCAACTTGAACACAGAAAAGCTTTTTTCGCAATAATAAAGTGACAATTTCCACTCGGCTGAACATCCGGTATTGACACAAAAATACGATTCCTGGGGGGAGCTTTTTTCTTTTTTGCCACTAACGGCTTTCAAACTCAATTACATTCTACTGAGTAGCATGAGCTGCAATATTGGGAATGTCACTTATCCTGACACTATTCCAGGGCAGGGAAATTTAGTTTTCGAAGCAAGTTTCGAATCAGGTGGGCTTCGATAAACTCTTTTTCGTCAAGAGATGATAATTCAGGAAATTTGGGTCGAGTTGACAAAGTTTCTTGTTCGGAATATGATTTATTCATTCGTCCAGATACTTTGAATAGCAAATATCGTGTTTGGTTCTATTTTGAATGTAAAAATGCCACCGAAAGCCAGGTATCCTCAATTTTTCTGATTTTAACGATAGGCAGTTTTTTACCAATATTTTTTCTGTTGATAAAATTTTGATATCTGTCACACTAACCGAGAAAATTGAACTCAAAGTTGACGGTTTGAATGGGCTTCTATTAGAGCAAATACGGTAGGTTCGGCTATTTTTCCAAGCATAGTGCCTTTGCGTTTTTATATTTTTGTTCAGTCTAAGTATAAGAAAGTGCTTGAAAACAGCCATATTGCTTAATGCGCGCCAAATTAGAATCAACTGAGAACCTGTTTATAAACGGTTTTTTTTTGGAGTCTTGTAAATGCGCTCAAACGCGAATACTACAGTACAGTTAGTATACTATAGTGTAATGCTTGTTTGTTTTTGATTCTATGGATATGGTTTAAAAATTTTAACAGCCAAACTCATTAATATGATCTGAATTAGATTCGAACACGAAAAAAGATCACAAACGATTTATTATCAGTTTTAGAGAATAATATTCAACATAGTAAATTTTTCCAAACAACGGACACTTTTTGAAATGGGAATTGCTGCTCCTGTAGTGAAATCAAATGCGAACAATAGTTGGTAAGTGTCATCAGTCGAATCGAAAACTTCAAGAATTCCAAAACAAAAATAATAATATCAGGGCACGAATTCCATCTCGTCACATCTATTACTACCGTAGTTCTCAACATAACGATCGTTGGATTCTCTCATTTGCATTTATATTTGAATCGTCTGATCCTGTTCAATTTGCCTACTGTATACCGTATACATATGGTCAAATGCAGTCATGGTTGAATGAGTTGGAATCCAGGAAATATACATTTTTTCATCGGGACCTTCTGATTCATACTGTGGTAAAAAGTCAATAAAAACAAATGAGTTTCGATCTAAACATTTCAGCAAAAACGACGAGTAGATTTGATAACTATTGATGGATCTTCTGACACATTTCAAGGTTCTAAAAAAATGATTTTTCTAACAGCTCGAGTTCATCCTGGAGAGTCTCCTAGTAGCCACGTAATGCATGGTAGGTAGTTTCTGGAAGATCCGTCTGTGGGAATATAGGTTTAGGGTTCAAAATACCGAATACGGAGGATATAATTCTTGTACACAATAACTACGGTTTAGGGGCACAGAAATTTGAGGTGCAGAAGTTAAAATCAAGCAGTACTAAACTTCGAAAATAAAACGGATTACGTGGGGAAAAGTATTCGAAATTGAAAAAGGATTACTGTAGGAGAAATTGAAAAAAAAATTCTAAATTGAAAAAGGATTACTGTAGGAGAAAAATATTCCAAAGGAAAAGGATTACAGTAAGGAAAAAAAATCAAAAATGGTAAGATTTAATGTAGGTAAAAATATTAGAAAATGATAAGGATTACTGTAGGGAAAATATTCGAAAACGAAGCGACCGTTGGCTAATTTCCATGAGTACCTTTTCACCGCTAGAATGCTATGCGTACGCTACTTATTGTAATTTCATTTTTTCAAAAATTGATTTTTGTCAATTGTGAAAGGAGAAAACGTTCAGTGGAAATGATATTCACCTAGCCATGAACCCCAAACATGGCGACCCTGAGGGCCTTTTAGTACTTTGTTCACTGCTTCCAGTAAGCATTGACAAAAAATCAGAAGATTAAAAAAATGAAACAACGATGAGCAGCGTGCGCAAGAGCCTCCTAGCAGTGAGAATCTGACTCTTTCATCCTTCGACTGCATTGCCTGTTCTTGTTCTGCCTCGGCGTTTGAAGTCCGATTGGACGTTGTCTTCGTAGATTGATCGAACCATCCCCGCTGCCCTGGAACCTCGTTAGAACTCTTCTTCTCCCTTCTCTTCTCGTTTGACTTTTCGTTGATTCCTCCAGCTTATATAGCCCCCGTAGATCAGATAAGAAAAGAGTTTACGAAAATAGTCAACACGCGAAAATTCTAAATAATAATTTTTTCACGACGATAAAAAAAATCGAGCGTTTAAACTAGTAAATAACCCAGTTGACTTAAAATAATAGAAGCCTCGAAAAATGATGTTTCACTACTGTAATCCTTTCCAATTTCGAATATTTTCCCTACAGTTATCATTTTTCAATTTAAAATATTTTTTCCTACAGTAATCTTTTTCATTTTCGTATGGTATGAGTTATCAGAAAATGTTACTTTGTGTTTATGCTAAACTTGAAAAATTAGATCGTACTAACTCGCAATCGGAATTATTGCGTCCAAGATCCCACGAATTGGGGGATTTCTAACCCCAACAGTTATTTGCTAACCTAATAATTTGCCCTGTCTGTATTATAATTTTACAGGAATCATCGAATTTCTTGTTTCAAAAGACGATCGAGCTCAGAAATTACGGAAAGTTTATTGCTTCAAAATCATTCCAATGCTCAATCCAGACGGTGTCTATCTTGGAAATTATAGGCAAGAAACCTTTTCCTGATTCTGGAAAATCCAAAATCTCTTCAGATGCTCTCTCATGGGACACGATTTGAATCGAATGTGGAGAGGTCCTTCAGAATGGGCACATCCATCCATATACGCAGTTAAAAGTCTGTTGACTCAGTATGATAATAATCCGGTTGGTTTACGGTTGATGAACTCAAAAAACCAGTTATTTTTTCTAGCAAGCCCAAACTGTAATCTACGTGGATTTGCATGCACATTCACAGAAACCGAACTGTTTTTTGTATGGGAATGTATCTGTGACAGCAGTAAGTCTTCTTTTTCTTTTCAAGAAACTTTTCAAAAACCAAAAAAAATTCCCGTTTCCGGTGGAAGAAAAGTCAACATCCCGTCAGCTGTGGCTTCCTCAACTGCTTTCGGAGCTCTCTGAAGATTATTCGCTTGAATTCACTCAATTCAATACGGATGTTGAGAAGGCAGGTACTGGAAGAAGGTATGAAATAAGGGATCTCAACAATTTGATATGAAATCTCTTGACTTCAGAACAATGGGAGAACTATTATCATGTCTCTGTTACACTCTAGAAGTTTCTTTCTTTTCTTATCGTCACGTGGATTCGTCAGGGAACGGTATTCAGCACTGTACTCCTTATCTACAGTATAAATGTGAGACATAGTCTGATGTTTCGACAATAACTGCTTTCATTTCAGATGAAGCTCTTGGCGAAGCTTTTTGCAGAGCTCTTCTTAATTTTTATGAAGCGGACTGTGGAATTCGAGAAGTTTTACTGGAACGTCCATTCAAAACTTTTCTACCAGCTCGAGCACAAAAAAGCTTGAAAAAACAAGCGAGGAAAATGATACAAACTGTTATGATAAAATGAATTAATTAAAAATAAAGAATATATATTAGTCTGGAAATCAAGCCTCTTGGATGTACCTACACATAACATTTTGAGAACTGTGCGGTCATGAATCAGACCAAGAGTTCCAGATTCGTTATTGTTGATTCTCTATGCTTCTCGGCAAAAATGATTCTGAGGTACTGAGGTATAGGGATACAGAGTTGCAACAATTTTTAGGTGTAAAAATAAAATAAAGGAGTGCAAGTTTTCGAGTTTAGTATAACCAGAAAGTAAACGTTTCGGGTAACCCATACCATACGAAGATAACATGGATTATCATAGGGAAAATATTAGAAATTGAAAAAAATTACTATAGGGAAAATATTTCAAAATGACAAAGGAATATTGTAGGAAAAAGATATTCGGAATTGAAAAATAATTATTGTAGGGAAAAAAGTTCGAAGTTGAAAAGGATGGCTGTAGGAGAAAGATTTTCGAAAATTTAAAAGGATTACTATAGGGAAAAATATTTCAAATTGAAAAAGGATTACTGTGGGGAAAAGTAAATAACTCATAAACAACCGAGTTTATTTCAAAAAATTAAGCATCGCTCCTCTACAAAAGCGCCGCGCTGTGTTTTTCTTGACGTCATTTTTTGAGGTGTTTATTATTTTGAGTCAACTGGGCTGTTTACCTATTCAAATAATAGGTTTTTAAAAATTAACATAAACTTACTTTCATTAAAAAATCTATTTCGTTTTGAAGAAAAAAATCATTTTAAAAAATGAATTATACAACATTTCCGCGTGTATTTTCATGAACTCTTTTACTATCTTATCTTCAGATCTGATCTACGGGGGCTATATAAGCTGAAGAAACCAACGAAAAGTCAGAACGAGAAGAGAAAGGAAGAGAAGAGTTCTAACGAGGTTCCAGGGCAGCTGGGATGGTCTGATCAATCTACGAAGACAATGTCCAATCTAAATTCAAAGCTCAAAAACACCGGGGGATCATCAGCGAGCTCAAGGACAACCATCAGTTGAAACGAAGTTGGAAGGAGTCGGCTGCCTTCTACTATCACTTTTCCACTGCTAGGAGGCTCTTGCGCACGCTGCTCATCGTTGTTTCATTTTTTTAATCTTCTGATTTTTTGTCAATGCTTACTGGAAGCAGTGAACAAAGTACTAAAAGGCCCTCAGGGTCGCCATGTTTGGGGTTCATGGCTAGGTGAATATCATTTCCACTGAACGTTTTCCCCTTTCACAATTGACAAAAATCAATTTTTGAAAAAATGAAATTACAATAAGTAGCGTACGCATATCATTCTAGCAGTGAAAAGGTACTCATGGAAATTAGCCAACGGTCGCTTCGTTTTCGAATATTTTCCCTACAGTAATCCTTATCATTTTCGAATATTTTTACCTACATTAAATCTTACCATTTTTGATTTTTTTTCCTTACTGTAATCCTTTTCCTTTTGAATACTTTTCTCCTACAGTAATCCTTTTTCAATTTCGAAAACTTTTCCCTACGTAATCCGTTTCATTTTCGAAGTTTAGTACTGCTTGATTTTAACTTCCGCACCCCAAATTTCTGTGTCTCTAAACCGTAGTTATTGTGTACAAGAATTATATCCTCCGATGTTTGGGGTTCATGCCTAGGTGAATATTGTATTGTATTGTATTGTATTTATTACGTAACAATACAATACAATATCATTTCCACTGAATGTTTCCCCTTTCACAATTGAAAAAAATGAAACAACAATAAATAGCGTACGCATAGCATTGTAGCAGTGAAAAAGATTTGATAGCACTTAATCAAAGATAGATGTTTTCGAATACCAGCAAGCTGGTGCGCCTTCGGCGCGATTCAATCTATTTTTTTAAATGTTTGTCGCTTCGTTTCTCACTTTTTCTAAATAAAAGGGTCACGTAAATATATGTATTTTTCTATTTTTCAAAAGTCCACAGACGGACACGAGGACGGACAGACGCCTCTAGCGTTTTATTAATAAGGAAGATTTTCCCTACAGTAATCCTTTTTAATTTCGAATATTTTTCCTACAGTAAGATTTTATTTTTTGCACCTGGATTTCTGGTTTCCCAATTGAATTCTGGATTATGTACTGTATTTCAGAAGATGTCCTCCAGATTCCGGGGGTGGAAAATCTTCTTGTGGAGCACTGTATATATTTTTGCGTTTGTTTAATGAAAAGAGTTTAGTCTGAAGTTTGGTGACTATTCACAAATCAATCCGCAATTTTACAATCAAAAAAAGTGAGCTGACAAGAAAGTTAACAAGAAAAGCAAAGCAAGCTTAATACAATTGGAGGGGACGTAAAATAATCTTCTTTAGCTTGCATATGATGTATTGCTTCTGGGGATGAATGGATTCAGAAATCACAACCTTGCCATAAAATAATACCACATGAAACAAATCGGGGGTAGGGGGAAAGAATGCAAAGAAGGATAACAGAGTTTGGAGAGAAATAGGTTAGGAACTGACGAGATTATGCCACACTCGAATGGGGGAAAAATATATGTAGTAAACCAGAAAGAAATAAATTAATGGGGACGGAACAAAATGATTAAACTGAATCTTCTCGACTCATTTGTAATGGATTCACATATTCGAAACCATCGAATTCTGATTGATCGATGCGCGCGATGACAGCTGAATTGTCTGGAGAAAGCTGTGGTGGTTCGTCGGTGAACTGAAAAAAACCTAGATAATAGAAATATGTGATTTTAGGGATTACCTGGTGGTCGAAATGCGTCAAATCGCGATCACTCTCCACAGCTGGATGATATGGCGGAGCAACAGCTTTCTGTTCCAGTGCTTCCCAATCAATGAATCCTCGGAAGAAGTCATGTTCTTTCATATCGTTGAGTCCGTCATTGATATCTAATTTGCATCCCAATCGCTGCGATGGATCTTTATTGAGGAACCCTTTGAGGATATTGGAAGCACGAACTGAAAGCGATCGTGGGATACGAATTTGTCTTTCGAGAATGATTTGGAACAAATAATCTTCAGTGTTCTCTTCAGAGTTTTGCATTCCGACAATATCGAATGGAGAACGGCCAGCCATCATTTCAAACCTATAAAATGAAACTTTCAAACTTTCGAAATAGAAAAAAAACTCACATAAGAACACCCAGTGCCCACCAGTCAACACTGAACCCGTATTCATCACCTCGTAATATTTCTGGTGCAATGTAGTTTGGCGTTCCACAGAATGTCGATGTCAAATCACCCGCATTTATATTCTCCTTGCACATTCCGTAATCTGTCAATTTGATGTGTCCTTCTGCATCGATAAGCACGTTGTCAAGTTTCAGATCTCGATAAATAATTCCACGAGAATGAAGGAAATGTAAAGCAAGAATGATTTCGCCAGAATAGAATCTAGCATGCTCTTCTGGAAGTCTTCTTTGCTGCTGCATATGAAACATCAAATCGCCGCCTGGAACGAATTCGATGACGAAGAAGAGACGAGATTCAGTCTGAAAAAAAATGCTATACATGCTATTGAATAATTCTATTCAAATACCTGGAAACATGAGTGCAATCCAACGAGGAATGGATAGTTGGACGCAGCTTCGAATACCGATTTTTCGGTTTGCACCCAGTCAATATCTTCATCCTCGTTGAACATTTCCTTTTTGATGATTTTTATTGCATAAATCTGACGGGTTGCGATGTGCTCTGCTTGAACAACTTTGGCATATGATCCACGTCCAATCACAGTTAACAAGCGGAAGTCGTTGAGTGAAACTGCCCACTTCGATGCGCCGTTTCCATTCTGAATAAGTAGCAATGTTTTAGATGAGCTGATGATTAATTTGATACTTCAGCTTCGCCCTTTTTCTCTGGGGAAGGGAAACATCTACAGAATAGTACCATTTAACAATGATTATGATAGTCTATGACACATGTTAGAATGAAATACATTGATCGAGGGCAGGACTGGAGTTAAGAGTTTGTAGCATAAAGAAGCGAATGAGCTTGAGAGACTACAAAATTGAAATCGCAAGTAAACAACTACAAAGTGTGATACGAAACTCAAAAGAATTTATCATATTCCCAATAGATTCTTACCGTGCTTCTACTCATATCTTTTGCTGATCCAGGCGATTCAATCTCATGCTCATGGAATGCTCCGTTGTCGATTCCACCTCCAGATCGTGTTGTGGATGAGCTGGTGTCTAATCTGCCGCCTCTGAGTGATCCAACTCCACTGCTTGGAGCCACTGGAACATTCGGTCCTTGTGGGGTCTGAAATATGAATATAGACATATGGAAGTTGTTTTCTGTGCCAGTTTCGTTCGGGCCCCTAATAACTCTTAAAAAAGAGAAGACAGAGCAAGCCATAAAATTCATAGTAGTTATAATCTTAATCTAGCGAAGCTCTCACCTGGCCGCAATGTGTTCGGACGTGCCGATGACATTTTTTGTGAACGCATAGTCGACAATCTACGCATCGAAAACCTTGCCGCCCGATTCCCCAGATGTAGTCGTGACAAATGAAGCATTGAATGCGTCTAAAATGTTCCACTTACAGTATTTACTCCGCTATACAGAACAGAATTCAAATAGTGTTTTTAGGAGCTCACCTGTTAAGCCGTTTCCCTTGGAATCTATGCCCATTGTACAAGTAGATTTTCTTCCATCTCCGTGCGCCACGCCTGTATACTGTCTCTGAAAATTCGAAATATTCGTGATTTGAGTTTCCGAAGATATCCGCTCACTATCTTCTCCTTGACATGGAAGTCCTGGCAACTCTGGTTTTCCAACAAAGACGTGAATATTCAGCTCGGCTTCTTGACTGACGTTCAGACAACGCACAGCTTCGTCAAGTTCCATTTGAGAGTCGATAGAAATTGGATCTCCTGAACAATTTTTAAAATAAGGGTCGATGATAAGAATTTTTTACCATCTTCATCAATCCATTTTACTGTGATATCCTGTTTTGCATGTTGTTTGCAGGCGTCACGGAGCAGTGCGAAGAAGTCGTCGAGGATGAGTGGTGGGCGAGCATACAGAACAACAACCTGGAAGTCAATATTGATATAAATTTTAATTAGCTGGGATAATAGTATTGTGTGTCCCATTATGTAAAAACCTAGTCTTGTCTTAGAAGAAAGTTGGAATTCATGCTTTAATGACTCAGAAAAGATTTAAAACTTTCAGTAAAAACGCAATTCTTTACGAAATTCGTTCCTTAAGCTTCCGAAAGAAACATTCCCTAATTCTTCTGAATGTTCTTTGTTCGATAAGCTTACCTGTCCGTGAAACCTCGTTTTCAGTTTAATATCCCCATCCTCTTCGACGGATGTTGGCGAGGACATGCTGCAAGTAAGAAATGCTGTTAGAACTGAAACCAGTTGAAAAAAAGAGAAAATGATTGCAGTGGAATTTTCTTCCCATCGCTGAAACACCTAGGCAAAAAATAGAGAAAAGTGACTCATGAATAAACATGCACCGTTAAAGTTATATGCATTGTCGCCCCAAGGGACACCCGTTTTGTCGTCCAAGTGTACAGGACACAGCCGAAACGGACACTTTGAGGAGACACAGAGATGAGAATAATCATAGGTGACCCTCGCAAACACTGTATACACGGCGGAGAGCGACGCACCGACCAACACAGGCGGTTTTGGGAAGTGACAAAAGTACCGAAGAGACCCCACACATGCTTGTTCTGTAAAATTAAGAAAAAAGAAAAAGTCCGGACGATACCGATTTTATTTTTCAGCAATGCATCATTAAAATCAAAATGGGAAGGGGGTGAATAGGACGTTATCAGATAAATACTACGAGATGGGTTTATGTTAGGAATAATTTAGTGCTTTCCGAAGTATTCTTGGCTCTTCTTGACGTCTGGCTTGATGGTGTCAGATCCTGGAGTCCATCCAGCTGGGCAAACCTCTCCGTGCTTCTCCACGAATTGGAAGGCTTGGACGAGACGAAGAGTCTCATCGACAGAGCGTCCGACTGGAAGATCGTTGATGGTGATTTGGCGAAGGTTCTGTTGTGGGTCAATGATGAAGAGACCTGTAAAAAAGGAAACATATTGAAGCTTCAACATGAATTATACTTACCGCGGAAAGCGATTCCATCTTCCTCCTTGAGAACTCCATAATCACGAGAGATTTGATGGTTGGTGTCAGCGAGCACTGGGATGTTCATTTCTCCGAGCCCTCCGTGCTTGCGTGGCTGGTTGATCCATGCCAAGTGAGAGAAGACAGAGTCAGTGGAAGCAGCGAGAACGACGGTGTTGATGGCGCTGAACTCAGCAGCACGGTCCGAGAAAGCGATAATCTCAGTTGGGCACACGAAGGTGAAGTCAAGTGGGTAGAAGAAGAGCACCACGTACTTTCCCTTGTAATCGGAGAGCGAGACATCAACGAACTCTCCGTCGATGACGGCCTGAGTTTTGAATTGTGGGGCTGGCTTGCCAATGAATGCTTTCGACATCTAGAAATTGGAAATTAGTGTGGGCAGAGGAACAATGAATAACGGAAACAATCACATTAAGACATAACAGAACAACGCCAAGTTTCGATAAAAAATAAGGGAGAAATGGGAACTGAAGGCATCACAATCGTTTGCGATGCGAAATCGGCGACGGGCGGTGCTTATCTAATGAAAATGAAACCAAAAATGGCGCAATCGGAGAGTAGGAAAGTAAAAACTGAATAAAATTATAACTAATAAGAAGTCTGTAGAGGGATAATTACCAAAGTTTACGGTTAGCGGTTAGAAAGATGATTGAATGGGTTGAATTGTTAGAAATTTTAATAGGAATCAGGGCAGGGATTAGTTGAATCAATGATACCTTTGGAGCGAGAGACATTTCTTCAAGCTATAAATTTGAAAGATTTGCTCAATATTAAAAATAAATTGAATGTCCTAAAGCAAAAAGGTACTTATAGCACTGCAGCAAGCATTTCATCATCATGTGACGCGATTTTTGCTGACAATTGGCGCGGCGGCAAGAAACAGACTACGATGAGGACGCCTCGATAGATTTCGGTTCAAGGTCGATATTTTTAGGGAATGCATTGAATTACCTGTCTATACATTTTCTTCTCACACCAAGTTCGAGTTGCTGCTCAGTCTCTCGCTAGATCAATTTTGAATTTCTAATTTTCTAACCACCTCATCGCGGCATCTCTCTCTCTCTTTTTTCTCATTCAGTTGCTATTGCTTCAAAAGACTGGAAATAAACGGCGCACAGACGTAACCAGGCAAAGACATTCACGGACGGCGCTCGAAACCGATCAATGAAAAAGGGTTGGGCGAGAGAAAAAGATGAAAAAACGAAGCGCATTGAAGTAAACAAATCGACAGCGCAAATGAAGGAAGGAAACGAAACTAACCTGGGTTTGTTGTTGGGAGAAACCTAGAAACGGAATAATTCTGATAGCAAAATGAAGCGCCGGAACCAAAAAAGAAGATCAGAGAAGTATGTTTCATTTAGAAATTGAAAAACGAGAGGTCTGAAACAAATGAAATTCGAGACTTCTGTGTTTATTCGAGCACTTTGGCAGTTTTGCCGCCGAAGATGTGTGTCACCGAGTAGTGAACCTCACAATGTGAAAACTACAGTAACCACTACGAACAGGGCACACCAACAGGGAGGGAGCGGGACAGTGGAGACCGTACGAGACTACCCCGATTGCGAGGAAACAGTTGTATTCGAGGAACCGATGAACGAGATTTGAAAGTTAAAAATATGTGAAGATAATTTATTTAAAACTGTAATATGAATAAATTAAAGCACATGAAATTTCTCAAAAATGCAAGAACATTGTTGATCTAAGAGTTATTACCCATTATAACGACGAATCACAGAACAGATAGAACAATTTCATCTAATTTCCGGGAGAATGCCTCAAACGCAAACGTCCGTTGCACCCATTTCGGTCCTTCTTCGCTCAATTTTTGATATTTCTTCTCATCTTGCAGAATCTCCTTCATCTTCTCTGCAAACTCTTCGGCGTTTTGATTAACAAGATATCCTGTTTCGTTGTTTCGCACAGTTTCACGTGGACCTCCAGTGTTGACTGCTATTACTGGTGTCCCCAAATACATAGCTTCTACTGGAACGATTCCAAAATGCTCACGATCAGGAGTGTACAAAACTGCTCGACTCTTTCTGATAATGTTTATCTTCACCTCATCAGAAGGCGATCGGAGAAATGTGACCTTAATCATATCACTGTTTTATTTCAATTAGACGAAACTAGAATAAATACCTGGTTATCTGTCAAACCGAGATCTTCTGCGTGTTTTTTCAATTCGTCGTAGTGCTCAATGTTTTCCAGGTTATTCTTATCATATCCGCCAGCAATTATCAAATGAAACTTCGCAAAGTCGGAAGTTGAAAAATTGGACTTTAGCTGGGCTAAAAATGTTTTTTTTTAAATATTCAGCGGCTCATACAAAACTGACCAAAAGAATCCAATGCCAAAACAATGTTCTTCTTCCTTTCGAACCGATTGAAAGATGTGAAAATGTATTTGGCATCAATGTTAAAATCGTTTCCAAAATGGTCTGAAGGCTGGATTGAATCAAAAAACGCTGTATTTAATGATGGATACAAAACAGTCAACTCTCTGGATTGCAATGATTTGAACGTTTCCTGAACAACTCCTTTTGTAAAATTGCTGTTAACACAGATGACATCCGCCAGTCCCGTTGAACATTCTTCTATCCAATCTATCACTATCCGGTAAGCAGCCTTCAACTGGCCGTTTCTTTTCGTCAGAAGTCGATCTGGATAGTGACAATAAAAGACTAGTTTCGCATTTGATAAATATCTGAGAACAAATTGGCCGGCAGAAACTGAATCTGATAGAACGACGTCTGTATCTCGGTAGAAAAGTGCTATGTAGAATGCTGCTACGATCATTTTGATGTAGGCGAGTAGGGCATGGCCTTTTCCGAAAAATGAGCGAGGGATCCATTTAACAACAGTGCAGATGTCTAAAATTTGGAAGCGCTATTATAACACATTAGATTGGGATAAACCTAGATTGAGAGTTTCTTGAAAACAGTGGTTTTTATCGTACTGATTGGTAACGATTCGAACCGAATGTCCTCGCTCTTTTAGGCCTGTCGCTGCGTCTACAATCAGCCGCTCGGCTCCTCCAATCCCAAGATCAGGATGCAGAATGGTGACTCGTACCATTCTGATAAAGTATTAATTAATCTTGCTTACAAAAATCCCAACATATCGAGATACACAAGAGACTGGACACTTGGACACTGAAAAGGCGATTTAAGGATGCAAATGAAATTCATTGTTTCATAAATCTGAATACTCGGGGTGGCACAACCTATCGTACAAGGAAGAAGAAACTATGGCAAATCAGAAAAGTGAACAAAAACGGGGAGAAATATGGATTACTAACACGAAAAACAATCAACTAGAAAACAGTTTAGAGTGCATTGAGACAGTCGTCGAGAAGGCTGCTGGCACCGATGCGGAAAAGAGTTGGGTTCAGCCACTGCTCGCCGAGAATCTGAAAATTATAGATTTTATTCTGGTTAAAAATCACATTTCTCTTACATCTTTCACAAGTGCAACATAAGCAAGAGCTTCATCAACAGTTCTGATACCTCCAGCTGGCTTGAATCCAACTTTTTGTCCAGTCAATTCATACCAGCGCTTAACTGCAGTGCACATAACATATGCAACTTCCAAAGTAGCATTGACTGATTCTTTTCCGGTTGAGGTTTTGATGAAGTCCGATCCGGCAAGCATACTCGCCCAGCTGGCCTTGTAGACGTTGCTCAAAGTTTTGAGTTCTCCAGTAGCCAAAATTGTTTTCAAGTGGGCAGATCCACAAGCCTTCTTGCAAGCAAGCACCTCATCATGAACAGTCTTCCAATCTTCTTCTAATGCGGAAGCTCTGCTGATAACGATATCGATTTCAGTGGCACCGTCAGCCACGGTGAGCTCACATTCGAGGACCTTTGATTTCAGATGATATTGTCCAGAAGGGAAACCTCCGGCAACTCCCGTGATACGGCAGGTTTGTTTGGTTTCAGTCAAGAACTTTTTCACGTCAGCAATTCTCTGTGGGTAGACACAAACGGATCCGCAATGAATAGAGGGATCAGTTGGAATTGGATTGATGGCTCTTTTAGCCAATGCAACTACCTTGCTGGCAGTGTCATCTCCATTGAGTGTTGTCAGATCAATGTACTGGATAACTTTGCGGATTTCATCTTTCTGAAAAATTAAACCGTTTTTTATCCAATTAAATTTGATGCTTACGTTTCTCAAATTCTTGGCTTCTTGTTCGTACTTGCTGATGGCTTGAGCGATTTCTTGATTGTCAAAGTCACGGGCAACTTCCTTTTCAAATGTGTCCACATCGAAACGTCCCTTGTATGTGTCACGAACGAACGAGAAGAGAGTTGGAACAATAGTCGCCATTCTGTGACTGTAAAAACATAATTTCCGAAGAATGAGGAACAAAAAGGATTATTGGAGCATTATTTCTTCAGGAAAATCTGAAAGAAACCGAAAATCGTGGCGAATTTGCACAATTTTTGCGAACCATGTGCAAACACAATCACGCGAACCTGCATACACTCTGCTGCTGCTGTGGTAAATGAAAATGTTGTACAAAATTTTTTTGGCAAAAAATGTCAAAAAAGGAAAATTTGTCTTTTCCTGCACGGTGAGTTTTTCACTACCGAAATGCGAAACAGTCTGCGACGTTTTAAAGTACAATGGACAAAAAAATCTGATTCATTTTTTACTATATATTCTTCATGAAATTTACAAAAAATTTATGGAACGAAAAAAAATCCTTGGGCTAGAATTCGAGAAAAAAAATTCCAAAGTTGAAAGCAGCGCGCTGCCGCGGTAGTGAAAAACTCACCGTGTTTGCTGCGAACCAAACAGTAAACGTTTTTCCAAGGCGCATCACTGAAAATTTACCGATTGTGCGGCAGCGTGGTTAGAATCATTCGGTTGCGTCTTTGAGAAATATTACGGTTTTCTTCGAAAAAAAATTTAATTCAAGAGTTTTTATTTAGGCAGAAAAAAATATTGTGTTTGTCAGGTAAAAATCTTACTAAAATATAATCTGAATCTTGGACTAAAGCAACCTAGATTGACCTAAAAACCAAACTGCGGAAAAGGAAGTGAATAAGTTCTTGAAAGATCTATTCTCGCAAAAAAGGAGTGAGACTGATAAGTATCATCAGAATGATAAGGTACTGATGATTGAGGCCATCGAAAGATGGTGATCCGCTTATCAACTCAAAGGTCGTTTGGCTGTTTAAAAATGTATTTCTTGTCGATTAGTTACAACAAATACCGAAGTACCATCATTTGGAAAAGTTCCTTAAAGGGGGCGTCCGCTAATTTCAAAATTTTTGAGATTTTTATATCAATCGATCCAGAATTTTGGATCAGGAAGAAAACTCTCTTGGATGACAGTCCGAGAATCACTCGTTCTTAAGATATATGTCAAAAAAATGAACGTAGAGGGTGCAGATTAGGGAGAATAATAGGGAAAATAATTCACGTTTTTATTCATTTCTTTACGTGTACCCTCAAGG